GTCATCGCACATGCGACCAACACAGAGAGACACACATGGACGCCACGCCCACTGTGTCAGTCGTTGCTTACACTCCTTGAGTTGTTTGCGGACGTCTTCGGGCGTCACGCTGAGTGCATCAGACGCCTGGCGGGACGCTGCGGCCACCTCGACAAACGAGCCGCCAGACAAACTGCTCAGCGCTGCACAAACCACACACAGAGACACAGATCTGCTGTGTCTCTGTCTCTGCCTCTCTCACTGACGCGGGCTGACCTCCCTGCATGGCGACGGGTTTCTCTGTGGGGTACCGGCCCACGGCGTCCAAATTCAGCTGGGCACTGCCACCGTCGGCCCGGGCCTTGCCTATCTTATTCATATGCTGTGGGTGCGTCCTGACAATATTCCCCAGCGTCATGGCGAGTAGCGTCATGGGTCTCGATGTGCCGTGTGTGTGTGTGTGTGGGCGCATTGAGACCAAACCGTGTGGGCGGCACGATATAAGGCCCTTCGTTCGGTAATCAATCCATCATCTTTCACCATAGATAGCATCACACAACAGGTATACAGGTCGATCGCACACAACAGCACACACAGTACAGAAGAAGAGGTCCGACGATTCATTGATTACACATGTAAGTACACACATGCTCACTCGCCCCGGCACACACATAGTGACTGACACAGACATACATGTCGTCTGTCTGCAGCGGAGGGAGCAAAAAATGCCTACAACGAGCGCACTTCTGCCTTCTCTTGCCAATCTGACTGCATGACCCCTTTCCCGCCATCCCCTGCCGCTGCTGCTGCTGCTGCTGGTGAAGACAACACGAAGTCTTGCTAAGTTACGCAGGCAGGCACATGTCAGTCAGTCAATGCACAGACAACGCGATCGACGACAGAAAAAGTGTATAGAAGCAAGTACGCATCCCTTCACGCCGCTGGTCGGTCGGGTGTCTGTCTGTCTGTCTGTCTAATTGATCGGTCGGCACACACAGCTGTCGAGACAGAGACATAGAGAGGAAAGAGAGAGGGACAAATACCCGTTGTACACTCACACACCGCACCAGGGGAACATCAGTCTGTCTGCCCGGCCAAGAACAACACACTCACTCACTTAGCTATCTTGGTACGCCGTCGCCCCCCTCTCCCATGGTGACACTCACAATCGCCTGCTTAGACTGCCGCGGGGGCCTGCCCGCCCCGCCCTGTGCAGCCATCTGCAGCTGCGTGAAGGCACCCCCACCACCACCACCAGCAGCAGCAGACCCCTGCTCCTCACCACTCTGCTGCTGTTGCTGCTGCTGGTACTGCTGGTGCTGGTGCTGTCTGGCGAGCTGCATCTGCAGCTGCTGGGAGAAGCCATGCATCAGCGACATCGGCGGCCCCCCTGCGGCGGCGTGGGGGTGCGTCGGGACGTGCACCGTCTGCTGCTGGTGCTGCTGCTGGTGGTGGTGCGCAGGGTGGGTGTGGTAGGGGCCGCCCAGGTGCAGCTCTGGGGTGAGTGTGTCTGGCGAGGACCGGTGTGGCAGCTGCGGGAGGGGCAGCCGGGCGTGGGGCCGCGCGTGTGCGTGTGTGGGGTTCGGGGTGCCGGCGGGGGTGCGGTAGCAAACGGACAGCAGCTCGCTGAACGACTTGTCGATGCACCTGCACACACACATGACACGCGAGCGACACACGAATAAATGGGCCTCTGCCTTTGTGTCTGTGTGTGCGTCGCCGAGCGCACCGTTTGATGTCGGCGTATGAGAGGACGAGCAACGCTGAGCCGTCGCGGCTCATCAGCAGAATCCGCTCACGCACACCCACGTCAACCTGCACACACACACATGAGACGACACTCCTGTGTGCGCGCCGCAGCGCCACAGCGGCGTTCTTTCGTGTGCCGCCTGTCTGTTTGTCTGCCTTAGTTACTTTCGCCAGTGAGTCTGCGATGTGTCCGATGTCGAGGACCGGGCGGCTTTCCTCGTCTACTTGGTGAAACAAGTAATCCCTGATCGATTCATTCGTAGACACATTAATACGGTGACTGACCACACAGAAGGCCATTAATTCCGCGTGCATCTGTGTGTGTGTACCTGAACAGTTTGACGACGTATCTGTCCCCGGTTTCCGCCCAGTTGTGGTCACTGCCACACGACGGACGGTCCACGATGCTGCCGATCTTGCTCAGCAACCTGACACACAGACACACAGACAGACAGACACACAGACAGACAACAACACACACATGAGTGGATCCATCGACAGCCCACTCTGGTTAGGTACCTGACGAGCCTGCCATTGTCGACCTCCTTCTTAAGCTCCTCCTCGAAGCAGTCTGAACACACAGACAAAGAGACAGAGGGACAGAGGGAGGGATAGGACATACACTCTGTGTGTGAGTCGGTGTGTGTGGGATGGTTGGTTGGTCGCTTGCTGACCTCCGACGTGGAGAGCAGCTTCCATCTGAGTGGCGATTCGGCCGCTGATCGCACCGGCAATGTCGTGCACACTCGGATACGCACCCACTCAACACACACACACACACACACACAAGACGAGAGACGGATGAGGCAGCACGGCCGTCTGTTGCTGTGCGAGCGGGTCACATCGCACCAGGTTTGGAGAGGAGCATGACGACCAGGTTTCTGAGTTCCATCGAGAGGTCCATCTTCATAAAAATCTGGTCCATCGTCTTGGGAATGTCGGCCAACACCTACAGCACACAACACGACACACACCATAATGCGCCCCTGTCTCGTTGTTTGCGCCATGATGGATACCTCCAGTGTGCCGCATGCGAGAGCGAGTACGAGTCTTCCCAGCGATATGAGGTCCTGCATCTGGTAGTCGCGCACACTGCGGGAGGGATCCACCTTCAACGCATCCAACAGGCCCACGCAGTTCAGCCGCACACGGTTCCTGCACACACACCGGGACACACACAGGGAAGGATCCCTCTCTCTGTGTGTCTGTATGGGTGTGGTGGTGTGGTGTGTTTGCCTGTATGACACGAGTATCTTGGTGGGGTCGATAACCCGTGCCGCCATGCCCGCTGCGTGGATGTGCCGCAGCGCCAGCACGATCTGCACAATGTAGCTCCACAGCACGCCTTCACGCACAGGACCCTGCCCCTGCAACACAACCAAACCATCACCACCGCTTTCCTTACACACACACGCTCCCGCGAGTACCTGGAAGTGGCAGGCCTCCATGGTAGCGGCGTTCGCGTGGTAGTCGTACACAAACACGAGGCTGCCCCCCTCGGTGGACAGGGACCGTGGTATGTGCGACGGCTGTGCGGAGCCGTTGGAGCTCTGCCGCCTACTGAGTGAGTGCTCCCTGTCCCGCTGGTACGTGAAGAAGTCCTGCGTGGCGAAGGCCTGGCGGATGGCCACTACCGACGGATGGGGCGGCAGGCGGGACCAACGCTCCAACGCACTCTGCAGACACGCACACCACAGGCATGCACAGAGGCGGCCGGCATATGATGCTGATGACGGTGGGGGCGAGGGGGCACCTCACCTGTGCCAGGTCGAAGTTGGTCAGTCTGAAGCCGTCGACACGTCTTAGCGCATAGGCTGGGATGTCCTCAGTGCACAGGGCCTGCAGCCAGCCGAGACACTCATGTATAAGGGTCTCAGGGGTAGGTATCTATCGTATGTATCTGTCTGTCTGTCTGTGTTGTTCATGCCTCCCTTAATGGCATGGCCGACCTTGAACACATAAGTGGGGTAGCCGCAGAACCGGGCCGTGTGGGGCTTGCTGCGATCGTCAAGCAGACACAGATTGTAGTACTTTCCCTGATGGATTGATAGATCCAAGCAACACATGTTGGTTGATGCGCCACTTCTCTCTGCTGCCTGCCTGCCTGCCTGCCTGTCTGACCTGCACGAGTGGCGGGACGCTGTCCGGCTCGCTGTCCACCTCGCAGCTGCTGCCGTCGGGCGCACTCGGAGCGTCGCCCAGGTCACGGCTGGTCAACAACATACACGCCTTCTGCTCGTGATACTCACGACGCAGCCCTGCACCCGCATAAAGATCGTCCGTATCGTCTCAGGACTGATCTTGCCATTCTCACTCACTCGCTCACCGGCGTCAGTGCCGAAGTAGAAGGGGTTGTTCGCCTGCTCAGCCTCCATGATGGCCGTCACGTTAGGCACAGCCATGGGCACCACACCAGGAGGCAGATGCGATGGCCGATACATCACACCACCAACACCCCCCACACCCACACCCCCGTTCACGTCTTCCATCCCCCCTGGCATGCCCGCAGGCACCGGCATAAGCCACGATGAGACGGGCGGTGGCCCGGGAGGGGGGCGGGGAGGGGCCGGCGCACCCCCAGACGAACCCACAGGCCGATACATGGGTGGGGCTGATGTCGGCTGCTGCTGTTGCTGCTGTTGCTGGGCGGCGGGGTTGCCGAGGATGGAGTGGAGTCTTCTCATGTAGTCGGCATCGCTGCCTCGCTGCGCCGCATCTGTGGCAGTCTCATCGGCCGCCAGAAAGGCGCGCTGCAGGGAGGTGAAGGGCGGGCCGGGGCCGCCTGCAGCTGCACTCGACTGATACGCAGACGAATGCTGACAGCAGAGCAAGGGAACCAAACCAGCATGACGCAGAGACACAGTCACAAGTACTAGCGCCCTTTCCGCACCTCAGCAGAAGCATCGCCCTGCGGCTGGTCCGGCGCCCCGTTGGCTGCGAGAGGGGGGGAGGCCAGGTGTGCCATGGGGAACTGCATCATGCCTCCCCCGCCGCTGACAGGCCGCAGAGTGACGGTCGATCCGTCGCTCGAGGTGTGGCTGCCGCCATAGCCGTTGATGCCCTCGTTGGCCGCCGTGCTGCACGTGGTGCTCGTGCCCACCGTGCTCAGCGCGTCAGCACTGGAAACGAATCCCCTGCTGAAACTCGGTAAATGGCCGCCAGCTATGACGCCGTAGTCCTCGGCACCGCCAGCAGCAGACTGACCGGCCTGGAGCTGCTGCTGAAGCGAGAGCTTGAAGGGCTGCTGGGACTGCTGCTCCGCTTCACCGCCACTTCTCAGCGCTCTCGGGACAAACGGTTCCGCTGCGGCCGCACTGAGAGCCATTGGCACACCACCTCTGGCGCGCGACGGGCCGATCACTGTGATGCCTGAGCCAGACGACAGCGTCGAGGAGGTGGGGGGCGGGGAGGCGGCCAGCCGATGGCCCGCCTCCGCCGTGTGGATGGGGGCGGCGACCTTGGGCTCTCCCACGGCAGCAATCGAGGGGTCGAACCATGGGAGGGCCGGCTCGCTTGGGGAGGGGGGAGGGGGCTCGGGGGCCTTGGGGGGCGGTGGGGGGATGCCAGACACCCTTATCGGCGGGTTGAACGGCTGCGCTGCTGCCGTGAAGGTGAACTTGCCACCGTCTGCTGGTTTGCTGCTGTCGGCTTTGGTTGGCCCCGACTTGAGATTGGCGAGCAGCTGTGCGAGCGCCTCGTTGGCTTCGCTGGTCGATGATGAGGAGAGGGGGGGCGAGGGGGACGGCGATGGGCCAGGAGGGCCCCTACCGCCATCTGTTGGTGACGACGACGACGCTCTCACCGTCTGGGGGGCCTCAGGGGATGACGACGCCTCATCCGCATCGTCATGTGGCTGTCTGCTGCAGGTGGGCTGCCCATCGGCCGATGGCGCCTCGGCCTCGTCAGACTCTGGCGTGTTGGATTTCCTCTCCTCGTTGCTGACAGCATCCTTCCTCGACCGGCGGCCGAGCGGGCTGGAGGGCGACGTGGAGGAGCTGGTGGACGGCGGGGCGCTGCGATTCTCCTGCTCGCTCTGCGCTGCTCCTCTGGGCGGCGATGACAGCTGTATCGACCGCACTGGGATGATCTCACGCCCGTGATGCCGACCCTTGCCGCCCTCAGAAGGCGGCGCGGACCGCGGCGTCAGCCCGCCACCCTTCTTTGTCTTGGGGGTCACGTGCTGGTTGCTGTCCGATGCCTCCCTGCCATCACTTGCCGACGAGAGGGACAGCTGCGGGCGGTCTTTGGTCAGGGCCGAGCCTGGTGTGGACGGGAGGGAGGCGGACGGCGCCCCTTTGGCGGACGATGAGAGCTTAAGCGTTGCGGTGGCGGGACGACTGTTGGGGGATGGGGCGGGGCCTGAAGCTGCTGCTGCTGCTGCCTGCTTGTTCTTCATCAACAACTGAAGGATGGTGCTCGCTGGCGGCGGCGGCGGCGGCTGATGCTGCTGCTGATGCTGATGCGCAAGCGCGATTGTCTCGAGGAATGTCAGTGTCGGCAGGCTACGGGGAGAAGACCCTATCGGCATCAGCAGTCGTCAGGGAATGCATGCACCGGCCGGGAATGACGCAGGCTACTACAGGGAGGGATATACAAGATGGCCGGCTGGTCGGGCTGGTCAAGGCTTCATTGAACTAGACAGTACAGGCACGTCGATGGATGAATGGCGCCTTCCTACGCCGCTTCCCCTGACACACACGCACACACGGAGAGAAGAAAGATTAGTCGAGTACATCAATTCAAACATGCTGCTGTGCTGCTGCCTGTGCGGCTGTGCGCGTGTTCATCGTCACACTATCTGCTCTTGTCAGTCAATGTCTGTCTGTCAGATTGTCTGCCTGCCTGTCTGTCTGTCTGTTCTCTTCACACGAAGCACGCCCTTGACTGCTTGCGTACGATCAAGGGCGGCAACACCGACTGCTCACTGATTCCATCACCGTGCTTCATCGTCACATGTGCGGCCGTACCATATGAACAGCTCCGAAGAAGAAGTAGACAGACTATCGAACAAGGAATCAAACGCCACAAACCTCCTCCGCCTTCCCCGCCCTCTCAGCACGAAAGCAGGAAAGCTCGCATTGCGAGCTTAGCCTCGAGTTTGTCCGCAGGAAGAAGGCTGCAGTGCTTCATCTTGGCCTGCTCACGAGTTCTTTCTAGGCGGCTTTCAAAAGGAAAGCATCGATCGTATATGGCGAGAGTCGAGGCGGCCTCGCCAGCTGGCGCCCCAGACAGTGAGGAGGCCAGGCCGTGCGCCAGCGAGGCTCTCCTGTTTGCACTGAAGGAGACCGACGAGTGCATGCGGGACAGATTGGCTATGCTTCTCGACGAAGACCCCATCACCATTCAGGTGGGCTCGGGAGGCTCTGGCTGGATTCAACTTGCTGTCACACGGCTTTTGTGTTTATTGTCAGGACATTGAGAACACGGGTTCAGCGCTGCTTGATGCAAGCAAGGCCAGGGATGCGCCAGAGATCAGACGGTCGGTGAGCGTATGGCTGGCGATGAAGGAAAGGCAGTCGGTGCATGTCCCAGCTGCTGTGTTCTCTCTTGTCAGCATCATGCGTAGTGCGCTACCAGGGGATGTGTTGAAGTGGCACATTGACGAGGCGCTGAAGACGGCTTTACGAAATGCTGACCTGCAGTCGGTAGGTCATTCAGTCGCTAGGTCTGTCTGTGGTATTGTTGTGTTGTCAGGTGCGTGTGTTGTGCGAGTTGGGGATGACCAAGACGTTCACGACACTTGCCATGGCGCCGATATACCTGGCCCTCTCATGCACAGAGGTTTGCACCGATGAATGCGACTCGACTGGCCAGACGAGGGAGGGAGGCAATCGAATCGACTTTGCTGTGTGTCACATCCATGTCATCCAGGAGAGTTTCGCCGAGACAGCTGGTCTCCTCCGATGGCTCATTGTCGGACTGGGAGTCAATGTCGACGCTCCGGTAGGCAAAATGGGTGGGACACACGCCCCCGGCCTACATGCGTTGTGCGTTGGTGCAGTACAAGGCCCCCAAGGGTAGCGGGAAGGAGGACAGCGGTCACTCAGTGGCTGCTGGGGTGGTCCCTGGTGATGGCTGGACAGCTCTGTGTGTGGCGTGCCATCGCCTTCTGCCGCCTCTTTGCCACCTATTGCTGCAGCTCGGTAGGCGCGCCCACTCCAGCAAATGTGTAGGTCAGGTCTCTCGCTCAGCTCATCCATGTGTGTCCTTTTCCGTCGTGCCCTCCCCTGCAGGCGCTGATCCAAACTCTGTCGGCCGGGATGGTCGTATGCCCCTGTCCATAGCAGAATCGGCACCCACACCTGACACTGACACAAGCATCCCCCCAACAGCCCGCAGGCTTCCCCGAGGCGCCTCGCTGTGTGAGAGCACCTATGGGCCCTCCGTCGGTGTCAATCTGCCAGCAACAACATTCCCAGCGGTGGCTGAGCAGCGGGCAGGTGATCAGCGCGAAAACGGCACACGGCTGGCTGCCAAGGGGGAGGAGCGCAAGGCAGAGGGTGAGGAGCCTTTCATGGCTCCGAGTGTGTCGGAGTCGAAGCGGCTGATCGTGGCGATGCTGCGGCAGAGGGGTGCAATGAGGGACTGGCGACAGATGCTGAGAAGAGATCAGGGAAGGCAGTGAGGATGATGGGGTGCGCCAGTGATGGGATGGTGTGAGGGAGTGACGTACAGCGCATGGGTTACCGCACATGCATGAAATACCTGTCCATGAGTGGATGGATGCAATTGGATGGATGGATGGATGAACCAATGTGCTTGCAATTAGGCAAATGTTGAAGACGCGGTCACGTATTGAATCAGTGTCGTCATGTCGATCAGGACACCACACGTCACTCTCACTTCCCCCCCGCCCATACGGCCCATCTGAAAAACCGCTGACATGGCCGCGCTGCCTATTGGATCCCGCATTTTTCAATAGCAGTGTCTCGTTCTATGACATGTGCTGGGTGAGCGTGATTTCCCCCGACAGACACCCGGCAGACAGACGGACAGGCAGAGCAAGATGCGGGTGACAGACTGATACACAGAAAATCTTGTGGGTGGATGGCCGGACGGATGCGTGGGACCAACCAAACCGTAAGTATACTGAATGTACTGAATGATGGATAAAGTAAGCCATGAGAGAGTGGTTGATCAGCAAAGCATGTATACGTCTCTTCGTCTCCCC